CACTGCCATTTATTTTCCGAGCCCAATTCAAGGTGCAGGTGCTCACCTACAAAGCCCTGAACGGTTTGGGACCACCCTACCTGCGTGACCGCATCTCCATCTACGAACCCACACGCTCACTCCGGTCATCTGGGGAGGCCCTGCTCGTGATCCCACCCACGTCGCAAGCGCGCTTGGTGGGGACACGGGACAGGGCCTTTTCTGTGGCGGCCCCCCGACTTTGGAACGCCCTTCCAAAAGATCTTCGACAGGCCCCTACTTTAGCAGTTTTCAGAAAGAATCTAAAAACTTGGCTGTTCCGATGTGCCTTCTCAGATTAGGAATTCCCCATCCCAAGTCCTAGAAGCACTTTAGTATAATTAAGATTGCTGCACACCGCACTATTTTAATCCTATGTTCCTCCTGCCATTTCAGCACTTTTAACCCTGTACCCACTGCTCTGGCCGGCCCAGTTTTTAACTGTCCTGATGTATTGTTATTAGTGTTGTTATTCTGCTTAACTATTTTGATTTGCTTTTGTTTTATTGTTGTGTTATGATTTGCTGTATTGTGTTCTGAGGCTTCGGCCTGTGTAAGCCGCATCGAGTCCTTCGGGAGATGCTAGCGGGGTACAAATAAAGTTAATAATAATAATAATAATAATACGCACACCCACCACCTATGGTACATATATTAATTCTTAATATTAATAATTATTATATTGACCTCCTCTCCATATATTAATCCTTAATGTCAATAATTATTGTATTGACCTCTTCTCCAAAATGCTAGCATATGTTGATTTGGTTTTATTCCTTTTTCTTTGACAACTATATTATCTAAGAATTCACCCCATGTTGTCTCAAAATCATTTCTTTTCATTCATTCCTTTTTACATTTTATTCCACAAGTCAGTTTATCGTTCATTGGGATGTTCTACACCTCTTTGTACCGATCATTGATTTTGTAATCATAATTTTCTCTCCATTTTTTGGCTATAACTAATCTTAAAGCAGTAACAAAAATCACTTTCTTTTCCCATATTTATCTTATATCTCCAAAATTTAATAGGAGTGCCATATTTGGATTTTTTTAAAAAAAATGATTAATCAATGATATATCATTAATTTCAATAAATACTTTCCCCTGAATTTCTTTTATATTTTCACATTCCTATTATAATTGTATATAAGTTCCAGTTTCCTTATTGTACCTTATAAAGGAGTAGAGGCTTAATTTGGGAACAAAATCCCAAAAAGCAGAACACCACTTGTGATTGGAATGAGGCTTCTGTGTGTAGAAGCCCAAACACAAAAGCTGCACTAAGCTGGAACTTTCTTCTAGCCGAAAAACCTTTTGAAAACCCTCTGGCCACCACCAAACTTAAAAGCACTGATAAGCCCTTGGCTTACTGGAAGTATCTTAGGCAAGAGTGTGTTGGATTAGCCCTCAGGCTTGTGTTCTGAGGTAACACTAAAAGTTTGTTCTATAAAATATACGCTGCCACCATAGACTCTTGATTGCTGCAGGAAACTGCTTTTAAAACTTCACCCACAGAGGCACACGTGAGGCAGATGTTGAGAACAACAAAACAATGATGTTTATTCTTGTGGGTTTTTTCGGGCTATATGGCCATGTTCTAGAAGCATTTCTCCTGCCTCTAGAACATGGCCATATAGCCCGAAAAAACCCACAAGAACTGAGTGATTCCGGCCATGAAAGCCTTCGACAATACAATGATGTTTATTTAAGAGAACTTCAACAAATCAGGTATGAAGCTTAGCTGTTTCAGAGTATTGACTTAAAAGCATGTGGTTACTTTAAGCAGTTCATTCTTAGTTACACAGAAACACGTCTCTCTCCCTCCACAAAATTTACTAACAGGATTGCTCACCAGCACAAATAGTCCTATTCTGGATCTATTCCTTCACTCCTCTACCAGCTATTTCCCTAATAGCAGTAAAAATCTATTCACTAGCTATCTCTGCTAGCCAACTGACCAATTTCAGGCCTCTCACACTAACCCTTCACCACTCCCAACTCCCACCTCCTCCTTCTTCGACACCCACAGTCAAGCTCCTTTGACTCCCAGAATCAATCTGCCTGACAGGGTTTCAAAACATCCCCTTAAAGTCAATTTTTTTCTTTTGCCAAGTTAGGCTCCACCTACTTTAACTTAGCCAATTACAGTCTTCTCTCATTTCCCTCCAAAGTTGCTCTTTCTAAACACGCCCCTTTCAGGAAATGAGTAACTAAAATGGATTGTCCCCCGGCAATGGCTGCCCAACTTCTTGGGTCTACTTTTTTCCTAGGCTTTTCCTAGCTTAACAGGTAGGGAATTCACTACATACCTCCAACAATTTTGTAGATTTATTTATTTATTTATTTAAACGTTTTATATACCGGCCTTCTCACCTCTCTTGAGGGACTCAGACCGGTTTCCAACCATAATATCACATACAATCAATGTTGTTGTTCATTCGTTCAGTCGTCTCCGACTCTTCGTGACCTCATGGACCAGCCCACGCCAGAGCTCCCTGTCGGCCGTCACCACCCCCAGCTCCTTCAAGGTCAGTCCAGTCACTTCAAGGATGCCATCAATCCATCTTGCCCTTGGTCGGCCCCTCTTCCTTTTACCTTCCACTTTCCCCAGCATAATTGTCTTCTCTAGGCTTTCCTGTCTCCTCATGATGTGGCCAAAGTACTTCAACTTTGTCTCTAGTATCCTTCCCTCCAATGAGCAGTCGGGCTTTATTTCCTGGGGGATGGACTGGTTGGATCTTCTCGCAGTCCAAGGCACTCTCAGAACTTTCCTCCAACACCACAGTTCAAAAGCATCTATCTTCCTTCGCTCAGCCTTCCCTAAGGTCCAGCTCTCACATCCGTAGGTTACTACAGGGAATACCATGGCTTTGACTAGGCGGATCTTTGTTGATACAATCAATAAAACAACATAATTCATATTACAGTAAAACATTAAAACAGCAATTACAATTGTTTGTTTTAGATTGTTTCTATTATAATAACCTAACATGATTGGAGTCGTGTACCATCTCCAAACAATTCTCACCAACATATTTTTCATAATTCTTTGTTTCCAAAATTTAAACCATTCCTCCTCTTTAATATTGATTCCTAAGTCCCTTTTCCATTTATTTTTTGTTCCAAATTGTATTGTATGGTTTTCCCCCAGCTGGTGATGTTCTGATATATTGGACTACAATTCCCATTACTCTCTGCCAGGTAGGGGATGGTGGGAACTATAGTCAAGAACATCTGGAGATGACCAGCTTTAATTGTTTTGCTCAGATAGCAAAATGGTTAGAGTGGTGCACGTTGAGCTGCTGAAGTTGCTGACCAAAAGTTTGGCAGTTCAAATCCGGGGAGCGGGGTGAGCTCCCACTGTTAGGCCCAGCTTCTGCCAACCTAGAAGTTCGAAAACATGCAAGTGTGAGTAGATCACACTTCCCTTCTGCAGGAAGGTGACAGCGCTCCATGCAGGCATGCTGGCCACATGACCTTGGAGGTGTCTATGGACAACGCCGGCTCTTCAGCTTAGAAATAGAGATGAGCACCACCCCCAGAGTCGGACATGACTAGACTTAATGTCAGGGGAAAACCTTTACTTTTACCTTTCAGATAGTACGCTGATCACCAGTACTATGGTGGCTTCTTTGCTGTCATAATGGAGTCCCAAGTACACTTAAAACTTCTTATGTGCCAGAACTTTTAATCCTGGGTCACTTTTGGTGGTGATTCTAGGAGTTATAGCTCACCTACCCAAGTTTAGAAATCTTTATGGTTTGTAACATTTTCCTTAGGCTGCCTGAGAACCAGATGGCAATTAGAGCCTCGGATGGAACTCCACCCTCCCTATTATACACTTAAAATGTTTAAAATATGGAGTGGTTTTAGTCCCTGTGTACAGTAGGGAGATATGGCTTGTTTTAAATATCCCCAAACAGAGAAATGCAGGCATGTTTGGAATTTCCCTGTCTTTCTCTGGTGGCTGCGCTAAATGTCTGTTTCTGATCATGTTCAAAGGGATTATTTTCTCTCCTTTCTTATTTATATATTTATCATCTCATTTGCTTCTGTGTCTTTCAGAAGAATGTTTCCAACCATCAGGGTTTCCTTCTCGGGCGTGGATCCAGAAGCAAAGTTCATTGTGCTTATGGATATCGTTCCAGTAGACAACAAGCGATACAGATACGCCTACCACAGATCTTCATGGCTGGTCGCTGGCAAAGCCGACCCCCCTCTGCCTGCAAGGTCAGTCCTTTTTTGAGCAGTATACATACATCTCCATTGCATCCACTCTCCCAATGTGTCTACCTTCAATGTGTTGTTAAAGGCTTTTGTGGCCAGAATCACTGGGTTGCTGTGAGTTTTCTGGGCTGTGTGGTCATGTTCCAGAAGCATTCTCTCCTGACATTTTGCCCACATCTATGGCAGGCATCCTCTGAGGTTGTGAGGTCTGTTGGAAACTAGGCAAGTGAGGTTTATATGTTTGTGGAATTTCCAGGGTGGGAGAAAGAACTTTTGTCTGCTTGAGGAACGTGTGAATGTTGCAATTGGACACCTTGATTATTTATGTATTTACTTTATTTATTTATTTACGACATTTATATGCTGCCCTTCTCACCCTGAAGGGGACTCAGAGCGGCTTACAAGATATATATACATACAATATATTATTATTATTATTATTATTATTATTATTATTATTATTAGCATAGTACAATATCAGTATTAAATATTACTATTTTGTACTATACCATTATATTGTAATATTACATCTATATAAATAAAAATGCAATGTTCGTTTGTGGGATTAACATAACTCAAAAACCACTGGACTAACTGACACCGAATTTGGACGCAATGCACCTATCAGGCCAACAAGTGACCATCACTCATAAAAACACTGAAAAAACAGTGGAAGACACTTAAAAAGCCAAAAAATAATAAAAAACATTACAATGCTTGCGCAAAACCACATATACACAAATACATATACACACATAATCTACACAAAACACATATACACAGACTGGGCCACAGCAATGTGTGGCAGGGGACGGCTAGTGAAATATAAATATATAATTATAATATCATATTATTTTTATTAGTATTATATTGCATTACATTATAATATTATAAATATTATATGTATATACAATATTTTATATTACATTATATAATACTAGCTGTCCCTGCCACGCGTTGCTGTGGCCCAGTGTGTTGATTTGGAAAATAAAGTAATGAGAAAGTGTTGGTTTCTAATATATGTAATTTCTTTATGCTTGTGGGTAAACAGTAATTTTTGCTGTTTCTTTATCAGTGTTGATGTGGAGAGTGTCTGGTTTACCCACCCTGGAACATGCAACATATAATTGTCCTTCTTTAAGGTTCCCTTTCAAATCTATGATACTATATCTCTCTGTGTGTGAATCATATCTATCTATCTATCTATCTATCTATCTATCTATCTATCTATCTATCTATCTATATTGATGGCTGGATGGCTCTTTGTCAGGAGGGCTTTGATTACGTTTTCTTGCCCTGATTAAAGGAGTTGGATTGTATGACCTTAAGTATTTTCTGTTGGTCACCGGGGTTCTGTGTGGGAAGTTTGCCCCGATTCTGTCGTTTGTGGGGTTCGGAATGCTCTTTGATTGTATGTGAACTGTGAATCCCAGTGACTACAACTCCCAAATGTCAAGGTTTATTTCCCCCAAATGCCATCTGCGTTCATATTTGGGTGTATTGAATGCTTGTGCCAAGTTTGGCCCAGATCCATCATTCCTTGAGTCCACAATGTTCTCTGGATGTAGGGGAATGACAACTCCAAAACTCAAGGTGCCCACCAAACCCTTCCAGTATATTCTGTTGGTCATGGGAGTTCTGTTTGCAAAGTTTGGTTCAATTCCATTGTTGTTGGAGTTCAGAATGCTTTCTGATTGTAGGTGAACAATAATCCAGCAACTACAACTCCCAAATAACAAAATCATAATTGTTTGAGTGATGGTCACTCCTTGTGTTGTGAGACATTTTGTTGCCAAATTTGGTGTGATTTCGTTCATTGGTTATTTTGTTTTTAAGGTACTCATTATGACCAGAGCATTTTTTATAGATATAGATTATTAGAATAGCACAGGAGACAAGGTGGAACTGTTCACTCTGGCCCAGAGCGGCAGTTGGTGCTGGGGGAGGGGTCCTCAACTGATGACATTTAATGATTAGCATTTAATGGCCTTGCAGCTTCAAAGCCTGTTGCTTCCTGCCTGGGGGATCCTTTGTTGGGAGGTGTTAGCTATCCTTGATTGATTCTTGTCTGGAATTCCCCTATATTTTGAGTATTGCTCTTTATTTACTGTCCCGATTTTAGAGTTTTTAAAAATACTTTTAGCCAGATTTTGTTCATTTTCATGATTTCCTCCTTTCTGTTGAAATTGTTCATATGCTTGTAGATTTCGGTGGCTTCCCTGTGAAGTCTGACATGGTGGTTGTTAGAGTGGCCCAGCATTTCTGTGTTCTCAAATAATATCCTGTGTCCAGGTTGGTTCATCAGGTGCTCTGCTATGGCTGACTTCTCAGGTTGAAGTAGTCTGCAGTGCCTTTCATGTTCCTTGATTTGTGTTTGGCCGCTGCACTTTGTGGTCCCTATGTAGACTTGTCCACAGCTGCATGGTATACAGTAGACTCCTGCAGAGGTGAGAGGATCCCTCTTGCCTTTTGCTGATCTTAGCAATCAATCCATTTTAACAGAAAGGAGGTAACCATGAAAATGAACAAAATCTGGTTACCAGTATTTAAAAAACCCTCTAAAATCAGAACAGTAAATAAAGAGCAGCACTCAAAAATCTAGGGAATTTCAGGCAAGAATCAATCAGGGCCAACTAACACCTCCCAACAAAGGATTCCCCCTCCAGCAGCAACCTTGAGTATCATCCCCTGTTATGCTTGTTATAATTTGGAATTGGACCTGGTCATATAGATAGCTATACCAATTTTCCATCACCCATTTTTTTGGCTTTCCATCATAAATTTACTGGTTGTCCTTCCAGAATCATACTTTTGAACAATTCTTGTTCTTTTCAAACTACAAAAAAGGAGATTCCATCTGAACATGAGGAAGAACTTTCTGACTATGAGAGCTGTTCAGCAGTGGAACTCTCTGGCCCGGAGTGTGGTGGAGGTTCCTTCTTTGGAAACTTTTAAACAGAGGCTGGATGGCAACCTCTCAGGGGTGATTTGAATGCAATATTCCTGCTTCTTGGCAGGGGTTGGACTGGATGGTCCATGAGGTCTCTTCTAACTCTTTGATTCTATGATTCTATGATTTTATTTTAATTCTGGAATCACTCATTGCTCCTATTAATAGCATATCAAAATCTACGTGTAACAGTACTTTGAAATACTTTCCATTGTTTTTGATATTTTTTCCCAATAGGGAATAACCTTTGGGCAAATCCAATGGCTTCTAAAACTCATATATGTTTTTTTTTTTAAATTCAGCTTTGCTTTCCAAAAATGAACAAATACTACACCTTTAACAAGGCAGTTATAATTATGGCTAACTAAGATATTGGAATGATAACTGTATCTTGGTAAAAGAAATGCTCCAAGCTGTAGTTCTGTGTGTAGCAATGGTTATGATACAGCCAAATACAGTAGAGTCTTGCTTATCTGACCTTCGCTTATCCGACATTTCATCTTATCTGGCACTCTTATCCAACACCCCCTTTTCCTCCAGCATTTCCTCTTCAGTTAAAGGAGCGCTCCCCAACTCTCTCTCCATTCCCAATAAATGAAAAGATGAGGAGGAGGGGGAAAAGAGACAGGATCGAAAGCGGAAGTATCCTCCCTCCTTCCCTCTGTGATTTCCACACACCTATTCCAGGCACTTCCTGCTAGGCCGCTCTAGCCCCAAGCCGTTGCTTTGCCATAACTCTTTGAGTCCCTGTTGTTAGTATTCTAGGTGTCTACTGCCGGGTTGACTGGTAACAGTAAGAGACTCTGTATTATCCGACATTTTTGTTTATCCGACGTTCTGCCGGCTCATTTATGTTGGATAAGCAAGACTCTACTGCAGTGTTTCTCAACCTGGGGGTCGGACCCCGGGGGGGGGTCATGAGGGGGTGTCGGGGTTGCCAAAGACCATCAGATAACACCGTATTTTCTGTAGATCATGGGGGTTCTATGTGGCCCAATTCTATCGTTGGTTGGGTTCAGAATGCTTTTTGATTGTAGGTGAACTATAAATCCCAGCAAATACAACTCCCAAATGTCAAGTTCTATTTTCCCAGACTCCACCAGTGTTCACATTTGGGCATACTGTGTATCCGTGCCAAGTTTGGTCCTGATCCATCATTGTTTGAGTCCACAGTACTCTCTGGATGTAGGTGAACTACAACTCCAAAACTCAAGATCAATGCTCATCAAACCCTTCCAGTATTTTCTGTTGTTCATGGGAGTTCCGTGTGCCAAGTTTGGTTCAATTCCATCATTGCTGGAGTTCAAAATGCTACTTGATTGTAGGTGAACTATAAATCCCAGCAATTACAACTCTCAAATGACAAAATCAAACCCCCCAACCCCAGCAGTACTTAAATTTGGGCATATCTGGTATTTGAGCCAAATTTGGTCCAGTGAATGAGAATATATCCTGCATATCAGATATTTGCATTATGATTCATAACAGTAGCAAAATGACAGTTGTGAAGTAGCAACAAACATAATTTTATGGTTGGGGGTCACCACAACATAAGGAACTGTATTAAGGGGTCACAGCATTAGAAAGGTTGAGAAACACTGCTCTACGGTATAAGCAAATAGGAAAATATATATCCTCAAACTTCCTAGTCGTGTTGCAACTAGCGTGGATTTTTTTTAAAGCTAGGTCAGATATAGGAAAGCTATCCATTTTTGATGTTTTGGACTTTGGCTCCCAGAAGCCCAGCCAGCATGGGTAAGATTTTGACCCTTCAGATGTCAAAAACATCTGAAGGGTTAAGTGATCCTCATCTCTGTGCCTTTTTGTGCGTAAATAAAGGATGTAGAATATGTGGACCTCAAGATGTCGATGGATGGCATTTTCCATCATCCCTCGGTACTGGCCATACTGGCTTGGGCTGATGACCGTTGAAGCCTAACAACATCTGGGGGCCACACATCATCCACCCAGCATTTAAACAGTGACATTCAAAATGTATACATTTCTGCTCTTGCTGCAGTTCTTTCCATTCTCTCACTTTAGAGAAATCCAG